GAGGTGGTGGAGGGATGTTTTGGGCTGATGTGGTGTGGACAGAGATATATATATATATTTATATTTATATATTTTTATTTATTTTTTATTTTTTTGAAGAAGACTAATGTGGAGCAGAATATCTGTTCTGTTATGATGTTGCTGTGTATGGAACTCGAATGTTTTGATTAGTTAATGTAAAGTATTAATGTAAAGACTGTTAAGTTCAGTTCATACAGTGTTTTTTATTCCTCGAGCACCTCCGGGTGCAGGATGGATGTTCAAATGACTAAACTCAGCTGATTTTACAGGTGATACCTGATCGTAGTCATCAGATGAGACTTTATTAATGTCTTGATCCTCTTTTTTGTTTTTTAATCTATACACTGCTGTGATTGCACTGGAATAATAAAAGCACAGTGGCCATAGATTGCCTCTGTACAGATGCTGATGAGCAGTAGTGTTCAGTGTGAGCACAGATGAAATATTAATGAAGGAAAAGCTGCTTCGTCATTATCCAAACCAAAGGGAGATGCGATCACGTTACAATTGTTTAAGATGACATTTGTGGGTCTTTTTGTTCGCTTGTCTCACTGATTGGTGTCTCTATTGCCCCCGCTGCTTCCTTGCTGGTGTAATTCAAAGTTGAATTATTCAGGAGGAGATTCTTTGTGCATTCATCTGAACGGCTCACAGCGGACATCTGACATTCAGTGAAGTTCCAGCTTAGTTTTCTGCGGCTTTAAGCCTCCGCTTTTGTCGGAGAAGACAAACTGTGCAGTACCTTATTTTCCACTCACGTGTGAATTGCTTTACTTCTCTTCCTCTTTCTGCCCGCCTAACTGAACTCTTCTTTTGCCAGGCGGAGAGGGAGAACCCCGGTCTGACTCAGGACATCATAATGAAGATCTTGGAGAAAAAGAATGTCCAAATCAACTTCACCGAGTCCCTACTGCGCATGGCAGCTGATGATGTGGAAGGTGAGTTATGATGTGAGAGGAAGAAGCGCTGAGGTAATGGGGCGGAAGTGGTCTTTTGTGACTCTGAGATCCAGGTTTGAAGGATATGCAGCAGTGCCTTTCTCCAGTTTACACACCAGTGTTCTGTTCTTTTCTGACTTCACTTGTTTCATCTGTCTGCCCATTTATATAAATCATTTAGTCCCTGGAAATGTACTAAACACCCTCTTCTTGCAGAGTTCATGATTGACCGGCCTGAGCAGGAGTTCCTGGACCTAAATGACAAGGCCAGAGCTCTGAAACACATCCTCAGCAAAATCCCCGATGAGATCAATGACAGAGTACGCTTCCTACAGACTATCAAGTGAGTGTGAGCAGCAAACACGCGGGCGCACACACACACACACGCACACACACAAAAAACAAGGCTATTTACACATGACCAACAAATGCTGATTTGTCAAATGGGGTGCAGTGTTGAGGCCTTCAGTAACTTAAACCAATGGTTAATAGCTGACAATACATTGTACTCAAAACCACAAATGTCAGTTTCATGGTGGTGCTTGAGGAAGTCAAGGGATCACCGAGGTCAGCATTGTTCAGCCTCTCGAGAAACATCTGCACAATAGTTCATGTGCATCTGTTAGGGTTGGGTGCCACCGTCAACACAACAACCTCCAATAGCTGTAGTTTTTAATAGAGTTCTGTCTAGGCCAAAATAGTGGACTGACCGATATTACTAGATTCCTATATTCCTATATTCCTGCTTGCATAACTAAAAATCTGCTACTTTAGATTGTGTGTGCAAATAATCTTAATACTGTAATCATTATTAGCATTGCACTGACAAGTTGAGCATTAGTTTCACCATAAAAGACATCAAGCTGTTTCTGCTATCTGCTTCTTCTGTAAGAAATTTAAATTTGGCTGTCTGAACCGATTGACTTGCTATAGTCAGCAATAGCGAGGAAATGGAACAAACGAAAAAATATTCAGGCCGCATCAGGTCAATTATATACCCCAGTATAGAGTGAACTGCATTAGAAATACAGCATTTATTGGTGAGGATATTGCAGTGGTCAGTTCATTGCTGTACACCTAAATTGACTCACCTTTTGGCTGAATTTCTGTTGTGAAACCCTCACTTGTGTTGTTGTTGTTTTCCCACAGAGACATAGCCAGCGCTATAAAAGAGCTCCTGGATACAGTCAACAATGTCATTAAGAAATATCAGTACCAGAATCGCAGAGTGAGTAACGGAAACACAAACACACACCTGTGTACATTTCTCGTGTTCCCTTGTTAAAAATAAAATAACGTTTCTGTTTATGTGAAGGCCCTGGAGCACCAGAAAAAGGAGTTTGTGAAATACTCCAAAAGTTTCAGCGACACCCTCAAAACATACTTCAAAGATGGAAAGTAAGTGAGACCATAACCCCGTCGTGTGATGCTTCATCAGTGCACTGTTGAAGTAGAAATAAATAAACCTGAAATAATTATAATAATTGTTTGACAGCTCAAACTCCCTTCAACTCAATTCTATTGAGATAGAACCAGATTAATGTGGAAAATATTCATCTGTCAGTTCGCTCGATGCCTGTTCTCATTCTGAATGAATGCGCTCAAGTTATTTGTAAAGGGATAGTGACGAGAGGAGTCTGGGAATATATTTCTGTATATGTGTGGTAGGTAGCCAGTAAACTGCCAATGTTGCAAATGTGATTGTCCAACTGTTTATGTATCTACATTGTTTAAGAAGGCAGGAATGTTTCCAATAAACGGCTTGTCATTTGTGATTTGTAAGCCTCTTTTTAAAAGTCTTAAGAGGACCAGCCCACATTCCCAATTCAGGTTCTTTTGTTAGTTCCAGTTTGTTTAAACACACCTCTGTGAGCTTCTCTGATCCTATTTATCTGAAGTTGCAATTTTCTGTGTTCCCAGGGCGATAAATGTCTTCATCAGTGCAAACCGACTCATCCACCAAACCAACCTCATACTGCAGACCTTCAAAACCGTGGCCTAGCCCCTCAAGAGACCACAGAGCCCCCCTCCCTGTCCTGTGGGGAGCAACTACTAGAATGGTGGAAGCTTGAAGAGCGCCTGACCCATATATGTAAATTAGAAAGAGTTGATTTTAGGGTTGGGGGATCGATTCCATTGAAGTCGATATTCTAGATTCCAGTTCAAGAGACTGAAAAGTGCCATTTGTTTTTTCAATGAGGATTTTCCAGTCTTGAAATGGAACTGAATGGGGCCCAAAGTCTTGGTTGATTGATTTTATTTGGACAGTTTTAATTTATAACCCTGGTCTTGTTTGGGAGTAGGTGAGGCGAGGTGTTTATTAAGGACTAATTGCCATTTTTCTAATATATTGATCATTTTACTTTTAGCTTTTCAATCACGGCTACACATCTCAGACCGCATTCAGTAGGGGTGTGTCTCGGTCGTCTATACTGGTTTTCTCTTCTCGGCTCCTATTTGTGTCATTTTGCCATGGTCTGTACGCGCAGGATCAGGATCTAGCTGCAAGGAGGAAGCAGTGTTGGACATTTGAGAGGCAGACTCAGATTTTGTTTCTCTTTATTATCAGAAGACAGAAAGCCAAATGACTTCCAGCACAGTGTGCGCCTTACCAAGTCCTGTAACATTCCCTCCTCTCAGTGTAATGAAGTGGAGCCAGTCCCTGCTGTTGGGGGATGTAAAGAGAGCATTGAAAGTTCTGTATTTAACTGATATCTGGTTGCAAATGTTCAATAAATAGTTTCCAAATGATGATGCTTTTTTAAATGTGTCCGAGTCCAATATGTGTGGGGTGACTCCTTTTATGGTAAGGGGATGGAGTACTGTCGGTTTACTTTGTTAGGCCCAGGCTCTTTTTTTTTTTTTCTATGTGAGCTAGAAATAGCATACAGGAAATGCATTTTCCTTGATAGTGAGTGTCCAAAAGAGGAATGAAATTGACTCGAATGA